TGAAGACCAACTGACCATTGGTTGCGATATAAGGTTTCAATCTTTAACCTAAGATTAGTAGGTTGCCGTCCCACCCAAAAAGCCCACACTCATTTTAAAAATAATCTAAAAATTTAGGCAATTATTTTAATATGTATCTGGTTGTATTAGTGTTAGTATTGTTTTTAGTTTGGATAACTAACTGCTTTGTCTTCAGTGGCGGATCCAGGAATTTAAAATACAGAGGGCCTAGGGAGGAACTTTGACAGATGGAGGATCTATACCACCTCAGCCCCACCATGGTTTGGGCTGAGGTAAGAAAATTTATGATAATGGTACCCTCTAGATGGCCAGATATGACACTCAGATTTAAAATTTAAAGTAATTTTCTTTCTTCTCTAATTTTTTACAATTTTTAAAAATGGGAGAGAGGTTGAGGGGAATGGAGAGCCCGGGCTGGCTGGGCCCCCATTGAATCCGGCACTTGTCTTTATAGTGAATATAGTTGAGTAGCTTAGTGGTTAAGATGCTTGCTTTCCATCCCTGGGTTCAATTCCTGTCAGTGTTGAGGATTTTTCTCACTACCAAAACAACTCCACTCCGGAAACCTCACAATTGAGGTTGAGTTGGTGTAAAGCATCATGTGTGTATGGAGTCTCACCGAGAGGCCGGGGAAACTGGGGCAAGTGCCCTGGGGCCAGTGCCCTGGTTCCCTTGGCCACTCTCAGCAGCCATGTGTGTATGTTCATCTTGTGAAAGGTATTGTCACCTACAAGTAGACAATGATACAGTATATTCATATTCACAATTCTTGGTGCATGTGTTGTGTGCCTAGATAAATAAATAAATATATAAATTACTATAGTGTATGGCAATCAAGTAAGATGGCTGCCCAAACTAATAACTGATATATCTGGAACGTGACCAAGCTGTTTTTAATGTGCCCATTATTCTGTTCTTTTCCCATCTGTTATGGTAATTATTGTTATATCTTTGAATTATGCAAATATTCACTTTTTTGTGAACAATGATTTGTTATGCAAAAAGCATCCTCATTATTTTCTAATTCTAATTGCTTTTGTAACTTTTATTTCCAAACAATAGACTTAAATTATCAACAAATAAAAAAGAGACTATGAAATTTATTTTCTTTTGTTGTAGAGAAGTTTCTCACCATAAAATGTTGGCATAAATTAGGAAATAGTATATACTTAGTAAGAAGAAACGTGCCCAAGGGAACAATGTGAGCAGCATCCGCCTCGAACCCGTAACCATTGATTGAGGGCCTATTGCTTTACTGCTGTACCGTGTGTACTTCCTTTTCACCTGACATAATCTTTTGTTATGATCCTATTTTTAAAATGCACACTTCCCTCAAATACTATAACTTTTAATCAATATTGCTTACTGCCCTCTATCAACTGGTAATCTTATTATTTTCCTTGACCTTTTGACATTTGCTATGACTTTTCTATGTATGTACAACATGAAGTTGGTTCTGCTTATCAACACCACAAAATAGTACTCGCACAGCCACAAAGTTATACAATGCAAGCCAGCTGCAAAAATTGAATAAATCGATTTCTTTGGTGTGATACAACCGGGGATAACCCACAATTTCCAGTGGGGTCCTTCTGCTGGTGAATTATCCAGTACACCGAGAGACAATCCCCTATTCTTTTCTGAAGAGAGTACTGCATTCTTTAACATGCACATAATGCATTTTGCACATGGACCAATGCCCTAAACGTCTCATCAGAAAGACGTGTGCTTTTGAAACCATCCAGCCCTCTACCTGAAACACAAGGAAGCAGCGATGGGTATTGGGAGACAAAGAGATGTCCCCGGTTCAGCGGTTAATATATGGAGTGTTCCAAACCGAAACATTAACACCCGCTATCCATCACATCATCATCCTCTCATGGGTTGGTGTTAGCTGTCAAAATACATTCACTATAAACTTTCATTTAAGGATTAGTTATGTGTTTCATGGTAGATAATATAAGTTTAGTCAGTATCTTATTTCAGTATTAATCAATATTAATATCTAAACGACCCATAAGTGTGTCACTGGTTGTTGCCGTGACAGCAGGATGCTGTTGGCATGACAGCAGGGTGCTATGTAAAAGCTGGTGATATTTTTTGATACCCTGATACCATAATGGGGTGGTCTTAAATCAGTATGCATGTCACAAATTGCTGTGGTTCAGGTGATTAAATTAAAAGTAGCAATTCATTTTCATTCCAGTATAGTATCTTAAGAATACATCACTATGGAGTTGAGTATGTGCTCAATGGGCAGCTATCCAATGACAAAGGTGGGGGTGTGGGGGTGTGTTGCCTGGAATAATGGAAGGTGTAGTTGAGTTACCCTGTAAATACCAATGTAGGGAGTTCTGTATTCAAAAACAGCTAATTTCTGTACACATAAAGGCAGTCAAGAAAGTTCTTACATTTAAAAACAGTCACCATTGAGAGTTGTATATAAATTATATTATGCACTGCACTACAAACGATTACAGAGGTATAGTAATCATCTGCACTACAAACGATTACAGAGGTTTATAGTATTCATTTGTACTACAAACAATAAAATTATGTATTAATTCATTCAATAATCGATAATGAAATTTGTACGTCTAAATGAACAAGTCAAAATCCAAGCTGTTCATTTCATTAAACCTTTTTTTAATTTTAGCAGAGCTAAAAATTTGTCATCAAAATCGTTGATTTGGTCATCTATTGTCCTGTTCTTCAGCTTTGGATATGATTAAGTCTAGTCTATTAGTTATCCTGTTATTTAGCTGAAAATTTTCTGTTTTCAAATATTTTGTAATGTCACACACAAATGGCAAATAAAAGTGAGATATTCCATTTTAAATACGCCTTACAAATCAAACAGCATGATTAATAATTATTGATAATTATAATAATATTCTTTAATAATAATTAATCATTAATCATTCGTAGTCATGGTAATATACCAGAATTTAAAAGTAAAATACAAGCACATTTTATAACATTTCTTTCATATCTAATTTAGGATTTGAACATCCCTAATTGAGAAATGATAGAATCTACAAAGTTTAAAGTTTTTCCTAATTTGTAGGAATTGTGTTTAATTGTTTTAAAAGTTTGTACCCTTTTGGATTTAAGCTGGTAAATATTGGATTTAAGTTGGTAACTACTGGATAGTTGGTACCTATTGGATTTAAGTAGGTACCTATATTTGAGTTGATGCTGTATATTGGATTTAAATTGCTACCTATTGGATTTTAAGTTGGTGCCTACTGGATTTAAGTTTTTACCTATTGGATATTAAATGGCGTTTCTTGGATTTTGCTGTGACCAGGTTCATAGAAATGTGGAAATGTTTGCAACTTTACGCAAGGTGTGGGAAGAGATATTTCAATACTTAAAATATTCAATTACAACTAAGACTCATTTGAGACTTGTAAATTGGAGACTGGCAGCACCAGGATTACCCCAACGGGGTTCCAAGCTCCCCGACAGAGGGGCTGATGTTCCCAACAAGAAAAAAGTAGACGCTATAAACCTTTTGAAATTGGTCCGGGGGTGGGGGAGGTGGGGGTGAAGCCCCCAAAAATAGTCTGGACAGGCCTTTACTTTTAGAAAAACTAAAAAATATTTTGATGGCATTGAAGACATAATTAAGGAAATATCACAGTTGAGTTAATTATTTAAAGTAATTAATTAGTTAATTATTTGATTTAAATATTTGTTAGTATTTCTCACTGTTTTGTGACTTTTCAATATTGTGGCTTGGCGCAGTGGGAATGGTTTGATTTCTCAACCTCGAGGTCGGGGTTTCAAATCCTCGCTATCCATTTCGCTTGTGTCCCCGAGCAAAGCACTTTATCTACATTGCTTCTCTCCACCCTGGAGTATAAATGGGTACATGGTGGGATTTCCTGCTGCTGCGCCAATATGGTAGCAACACCTAAGCATGTGGACCCATTGACCAGGGAAAACAAATAATTAAATAATAAAATGAATAGAGAATGTTTTTGGGAAGTTGAAAAGTAAAAATTTTTTTTTTTTCTGACTATCAGTTAAATCCTGTCCAAACTATCAAATTTTATTTGACAAAAAACATGTGACATGCCTAAATATGGTCATGATGACATCACATTATGACCATATATAGGCATAGCATGACTATGTATGGGCATATCCTGACTATATATGGGCACATCATGACTACAGTATATATAGGCACATCATGACTATATATGGGCATACTGTACAATAGTTTTTGATGGTGTAGACAGAGCTTTAGACACAAAAACCCTAATTAGGAACAGTTTGCGTAATATTCTTTGTGGTTCAATTACCCAAATTGTGCGATAAGTTTAACTAAGTGAACGTTGCACAGGAAGGTCAACCATGCTGCTTTCCCAAAAGAAAAGTTCAATGCGAACAGGACATCACGTTTAAATCTTCCTGACTGAATTATATCCCTTTTTTATTGTTGAATGAACATAAAAATTAGTTAGTTAATCAGTTAGTTACACAATATTTTAGATAATTAATCAACTAACGTCATTATTTCTCTCCATCAACGTTTTCTCTTCAATAGAGTCTGTCACCTATCTATCAACATGTATTTTATTTTTGCAGGATAAATGGACGCCCTTGATTTGTGCCGCCAAGGAGGGTCATTCAGAGGTCGTCGAAGCACTTTTAGATAATGATGCGAATGTAAACCATGCTGATACTGTAAGTGTTGTTTGTTTGCACATTCTTTTCTCACTTGTCATACATTTAGGACTTGTTTACCTTTATCAACATTTTTTGCAAGTGTACAAACAGTAATCTTTTTTGATACCCCCTCCCTTCCTCTCCTCTTAATGTGTACATAAAAGTGTTGATTTTAGACAGCAAAATTTGTTCTCAAAGTGGAAGTTTTTTTTCACAATATTTAACCATCTCAACATTAAGAGGATTAATTTAAATTCCCAAGAGAGAAATCCCCAATTCCCTGTAAATACAGGCATTTTGTATTGTTAGGATTATACAGAAAGACGTCCATCTTAGTGTCCGTAAATTAAAAAATTTGTAAACTAGATCGTGTGTCAGTTTCTAATACCTAGGACTAGCTTTCCCCCGACATTGAGCGCCGATAGGCTGATGTGCGGCCAGACCTAGCACCAACCGACAGTGCAGCAGCGTGGGAATACCGCGCTAGAGCCTAGCTGAATTTACCGTCAATATAAGCCATTAATTATTTTAATTAATGGTTTTCTTCCACTTAAAAGAATATTATTTTAGCTCTTATTCAATTGTTTGTATGTTTTATGGACCCTTCTTTCGTGTTCTTTCTAGTTCCCTTCTTTCATGTTCTTTCTAGTTGTTAGATTGCTGAGTTGTGTTGTTTTCATAAAATTGGTGTTCATAAAATGGGTAATTTACTGTACTCTAATTATAATTTAGACAATAAAGTTTTGATTTTATTATTTTTCCATTAACAGAATGGATGGACAGCTCTGATGTGGGCTAGTTACAAAGGTCATGCGGAGATCGTGAGGATGTTGGTGCAACGGAATGCGTACACCAATGTACAAGCCCAGGTAAAAATTTATCATCATCATCCCGTTTATCCCCTCATGGGGGGGTCGGGTCATCTCATTATCATCCTCCATCTGGTGCGATCCATGACTGCTTCTATTGTAGGTCTACCAATCTTCCATCTTATCTGATGCAGTCCATCCAACTCTTCTGCCCACCTTTCATATCAGCCTCTTCCTGCCTCATTACATGTCCGTACCATCTCAATCTGCACTCTTGGATTTTTAAGCCCAGGTAAAAATTATAGTATAAATATTTCATATGTAAATTTTATTATAAAAAACTATAAAAAATTATTAGGAATGATTAATATATTCAGTTGATCGTGACAACATCGATGTCATCAACAATGATGGTGGCCTGTGAAGATGGTATTGATGATGACAGTGACTTATGGCCAAAGGTACATAATGACATTGTTAGTGTGGTGGAATTGATGTAATGATAATAATAATAAATACATTATTAATTACTTTATTTCAGTAATTATGAGGAAGTACCATACCAATATGTCCCAATAATTCCATTCTTGAAATTTATTTTTGTGAATTCATATCACAAGCTCTAATTTACAATATTCAATTGAGGGAGTGCAGCGGTAATTATAGAGCTAATCAGAAATATAGATTCCGTTAGCTTTGGGCAGTTGTGCTTTAGTCGATAAGAGCACAGGGTCGACTTATTTCATCGCTTGGGAAACTTAGCAAATATTGTGTCTCCCATGTCAATAGACGAATCTTTGATCGTTGTCGTCGTGCAATCACGAAAGAGACGGCTCCAGGACAGGTTCAGACCACCATTTACTAATTTCAGTAAATTGAAAATGCTCACAAATCCACTCTGAAAATTTATTGATGTAACTAATGACGAGCATAGAAATTTACCTTTGACCTTTGCAAAATAACATGTTTCAGTTTTTTATTTTTTCACTGAGGAAATTTGGGAAATTTTCAAATACTGAAATGAGAAATGAAAAGGATGTTTTATAATAAATTATGAGATAATGACTAGAATTTATTAGATAGCGTATGTTATTGATGCTGTTTAATTTTATAATGATTCTCATTTTTATTGTAACACCATTATAGCGAATGACCTGGTTTATGAAAATGTTTAGTAGAAAATACTGTAGTTCCTATGCTAACATCTGTGGCAAGTAGTTCCTATGATTACAGCATTAGGTCATAAATAGTTTCCATGGTCACAGCTTTAAATTCAAGCAATTGCAGTTAATTTGTCAAAATTATATGTAACTCTAAAATCTGGCCAAGAAACCATGGTAAAACCATTTGTGGTAAATGTATTAACCAATACAGCATAAACACGGAACTATTCCACCAGTTAAAAATATTATATTTAATCATGTGGATTTACCAAACGTTTTATAGTGGCCGCATTAATAACTTTTGCTAAGCCACAGTTTTTTATTATTTTATGCAAAAAGGTTTTTGTGGTACATAAGAATATTCCTGACCCTGCTATGATTAAGCATCAGTTCTTGCACACACTCATATTTTGTAAATTCTGTAACCTTATTTTACCATCAATATTGCAAAGTTCACACAAAAGACTGTAAAAATGTGGGATTTAAATTTTATTTAACTAGGTGTTTGTGGGACATAAACACATTTCTGACCCTTTTGTGGTTTTATTTATTTATTTATTTATTTTCCCAACCAACAGCAAACACAAAGTTTGCGAATTACAGGAGGGAACATAAACCACAACGAACAATACAAGAAATACATCAAGCATTGAACCAAACTACTAATGATATTACGAAACATTCAAAAGTCATTTCAGAAAATATCTAACTCAGGATTTTTTAAAATAAGGGAATTGTAACTTTGACTCAATCTACAAACATAACCATTTTATAAAACATTAACTCTAGAAAAGGGAATGTAAAACTTAGTATTGTTTCTGTGACAGCAACTGGGGACTCCAAGATTAAAATTAGAAACTAAATTATAGTCGGACATGGCATTAACAAATTTATATAAAAAATCAAGATCAAAAAAATTTCTACGGGACTCAAGGAGATTGAATGTTAAGGGGAATATTTTGGTTGGTCAATTACCAGTGTTTGACATGAGTGGCATCAGTTCCTTGCCCATAATTCTTTGTAAATTCTCTAACCTTGGTTTACCCTCACTATTGCAAATTTATTCATAAAATACTCGCAAGGTGTCGAGTCGGACCTCATGTTCTGAAGCATCATTAGAAATCACTTATGTGTGAGGTGGATCATTTGTATTCATTGATCGCTCGTTAAGTTCAATAATTGATTAATTATCTACCAATCCGTACTCAAGATTTCTAAGTACTGTATCTCATCCATTTGTATATAGCATGTACACTGTATCAAGTGAGGGAAAACATTGCCACTTAAAGTGGCATTTATATGTTCTTGGTAAATGTCAACATCCTAAACTCTCTATACCTCTTATACACATCTAGATGTGTATAAGAGACAGGGGTTAAAGTATCCCAAGTAGAGGTTCATTTGACATTTCCTGTAAGTTGATTTATAATTCATTTGTTATTATTTTCAGTACAACCTCCGGTCACCATTCAATTGAGTAATTAAATTAGGAAGCACAATAGATAGAGTTTATGCTCGTTTTTTGGATGCAATTAATCAGATGAAATAATAACCTTAACAAGGTCAATGTACTAGGTTTGAAAGCTGTGGTCTCCTGTAACAGCCAGTGAAGATTTGTAACAAAGCTTTTTCCATGAATAATTGATAAAATTATGTAAATATTAATCATGGAAAGCCTTTAAGTCTGTACTTTTGATCTAGATTAAGTAACATCAGCTTAGATTAGTTGGCTATAATAGTGTATATACTCGTGTATATAAGGGAATCTGCATATAAGACCACTCCCAAGTTTGAGAAGTTTTTTGGGTGATTTTTATTTATGTCAGGTGTATAAAGACGACCCCTCTCCCATTTTCACTGTTCCCAAATTCCTACATTTTTTCTGCTCTTTATGGTATGATACTGTACCTAACTAGCCAAATTTAGGTCTAATTTTCCAAATAATACCATTTTATGGGCTTTTAAATGTTCATTAAATCTTTTTTCCCCACATTTAAAATTGTGTTGATTCATACTAACAATAAGAGCTTCATTGACAAAAAATTGTACGACGCTGTCTGAGTGGGCCTTAAGACAACCTATTTTTCGATTGTAATTTACTATTATAAGGCTTAGGTTGTATGCGAAAATACACTTTTTTTTTATAAGAACACATTTTATAAGAACTCTGAGGCTGAAATTGCTTAAAAATTAAGAACAAAATAGGAACAAATTGAGGCTGAGGTAAAATGTCAAATGAGATTTTTATTTTTAGAAACTAGAAAAACCAACAAATATCTGTACCTTATGTGTAGGTGTGACTATGCAAAACAGTAGGCCATTTTTACCGGGGCCTTTTTTCTGGGCCCTATTTTTTCGGGGCCACTTTTACCTACATCATCCATTTTGAGGCTGAAATCGGCCAAAAGTAAGAACACTAAGCCTGGGAAAAATTTTACTTGTTCTTATAAAAAAAAAAGTGTATATGGTAACAATAATAAAAACTTTATTTAGTTACGGAAACCTTTGTTCACCTCATTGGTTATTAACAAGGCAATAAAGAAATTGTGCAAATCAAAAACAAAAACAAAATGGTAAAAGAGAGCACAAACAACTTTTTTTTTATTTCTACCACTTTTAATATTTTAATATTATTAAAAAGTATCACTGTAGATCAAAAACATACTATAGCAATTTTAATCAATTTTTAATATCATTTTGAAATTAGAAATTGTATTTTTGAGGTCATCACTAAGTTCATTTTTAATTTGCATAAATTGACTGTTGACATAAAATTATATTATAATTAATATAGATATTAATTATAATATAATTTTATGTATAACCTTGTAAATCACTACCACAGGTTGTGTTATATTTTACGGAAAATTGTATAAAAATATAAGCAAGTAAAGGAATATGAAAATAACTAATTAACAAGCTAACCCAAGTATATTTATACCTTTTGTTGTGTTTTAGATAGATTTTCAAGTCTAAAATATAAGCTTTTAATGACCTTTAAAATCTATTTTAAAAATCGATGCTATGCTGTTTTGTATGCTGACAATTTATGCGATAAAATTAAAATCACCGTACATGCATATACATTTAACACTCTTCAACTACTGCACTACATACATTTTACCATTATTGTATTGAGAGTTGTGACTCCTATGCATATTTTGATTTATACGAAACAGTAGGCGAAATGAATTAACAAGTCACTTTGATATGCTGTGCCTAGGTTTACATAGAAAAATTATAATTTTGAAGGGTTGACTAATAATGGCAGGTAATTTGTATGCTAAACAATTCACCAAATTTGTCCTACAGTTAAACTATACCTATAAATCATTAGTAGCCCTACTGATTACGATAGTGGAGAATATTAATACATTGCTTGACTACTGCCAGTCTTCTATGCAACAATGGCGAACGACTTGCCATCTAAGGTGTTTCTTGGTCATTTTATCAATGTAGGCTACAAAGTTTACCTGTATTTTGTTCATAGACATTTTAAGTGAATGTTTTAATCAAATTTAGTAAAATTCTTGCCAATGTAATTGCATTTTACTGCAATCAATATTTTTTTCTGGGATGCTATATTTGTGTGTGATCTTATATATAGTGATTACGATCATGATTTTTGTCTGGATTTTGGTTCAATTTTTGGCCGAATTTATTAATGGAATTTAATATTTAATTTTATATTTAATTGTTTCTAGTTGTATTTGAAAAATGTTGTTCTTTTCTGTGTAATATTTTAGTGTTTTCAGTAGTGTTTAATAGTTTGATAGTAGGGAGCTGTTGATTTGCACGACGACGGTAGGAAGTAAAACGTAATTACGAGCATTCGAGAATGTTAAGTTCTCCTCATCGCCTAGATTCTAGGATGCAATTTGGCCAAATCTACGTTTGCAGAACGTAAAAGGTCCGGTAGGACGGTCACGCATGATTGATTCTGTTGTAGCGTCTCATTGCGCAAATCGCAAGCTCCCTATTTTGGTGTTTTCAGTAGTGTTTTAATAGTTTGATGATGATTGTCTTTACAGCATGGAGTTACACCAATTATTTGGTCAGCTGGTAGAGGTCACACTGCTGTTGTGAAAACACTTTTGGAGCACGGCGCTAAGGCGGACTCTTCAGACAAGGTAATAACCTCTGCAGACTATAATTAGAAAGTAGAAATAAATATGCCATGGGCCCTGGGGGGTTGCAGCATTCACAGTGCAACTCCACCGACTTAACTACAACTTAAAATACAATAAAACTTAATAATGATACAAACATTGCACTCAACCTGATAACTCCTAATATGAGGGTTAATCGAGGAGCCAAGCGATAAGATTCCAGTTTAAAAAAGATGCAGGCTTTGTTTGAACTAATGTCATTGGTGTGAGAAGGAGGAACAATACTTCTCAAGCACCCGGTGTGATATGATTAAATTTTTGTCGCAATTATTGTAGCAAGAAAAAAATAATAGATGCTAAAGGCTGTGTAAAACTGCCGCATTCTTTCCTCTTTTTAACTGTTATTTAGAGTGGTGTACGGTGATTTTTTGCCCAGAGATATGCTGTTAAGTGTATGCACTGAATATACATAATTTTTGCAATTGGTGTCCTAATAAGAGAGAATCTGGGGTGGAATGGGATTGAATGCGGTGATTTTGGGCAATTTTAATGACGTTTAACATCGCAAACGAGAGGTAGCTGGTACCAGTTAACTGGGTAGCTTAGGCACAAAGAGACTCTTAGGTTAGAAGCAATTTATTTAACGAGCTAGTCCACACCCTGAGTGCTTTGAGACTGGGATAAAAGGGTATATAAATCCAACTAATATATTTGTTTGCTTATGATACATATTCTAATATTGTGATTGTACAGTTAGAATGATTTTTGGACAGAATGTTTTTAGGTTTGAAGTTTACAATGTGTGTATAGCCTACTAATATCTTTGTTGTATGTGCTAATATTGTATGTTTAATTACCCAGGAAGACAAATTTCATGTATTTTTATATATGACTGAATAAATCGAACCTTGAACCTTGAACTAAATTACATTACACTGGTAAATCTATTTTTATTTCTGTAGTATGGAACTACAGGTCTTGTGTGGGCTGCGAGGAAGGGGCACATTGGATGTGTGAGCGAGCTTCTTGATCATGGCGCAAATCCAGACATCGCGGGCATGGTGAGTGGTTACGATAGTTCTGTCCTGACTATAAAACAAAAGCATCTGACATGCCTAAATATGGCCATGATGATATCACATCATGACCATATATAGTCACATCATGACCATATATAGTCACACCATGACCGTATATAGTCACATCATGACCATATATAGTCACATCATGACTATATGTGGGCATACAATAGTTTTGTGTCGAAGAATATTTAATAGTGTTCACAGAGCGTTATAATAATCCCACTAGGGGCATGGGGGAAGTTTTTCCTCCTCCATGTTTTGCCGCGAAAGTTTGTAAAAATGTTAAGGCATATCAGTGTTATGTGCTACAACTAATCTATTCAGAAACATACTGGATCAGCCACTGAAATTGCAGTTATACAAATTGAAGACCAAAATGTTTTAATATTTTATATTGATACTTTTGATTTTATTTTTATAATTTTCATATTATTTAACTGTATTTGTTTCTGCCCCACTCAGAACTCATGGACTGCATTAATTGTAGCATCCAGAGGAGGGTATATTGATGTCGTTGAGCGAATACTTGAGCAACATCCTAACATTAATGCTGTAGACAAGGTAGGAATTTTGTATATCATATTTGTACATATAATGTATTGCATGACCATTATAAGTGATAAAGAAAAGATATGTCTACCATCACCTATTATTCATCCACTTGTCATCAATTGTTATCTTACTGCTTGTCATGTGTTCCCCTTTATTTGTCACCTATATTGTCACCAATCTTCTTGTTACCTTTCGATTTGTCGCCCATTCAATTTTCATACATTTCTTTTCATTCATCCTTGTGTCACCCTTTTTGTCACCCATTCACTTATCAAACATCCCCCTATCAAATGTACCCTTGTCAATGATCCCTTTGTCACCTGTCTCTTTCTCATTCATCCCCATGTCATTCAACCTATTGTCACCAATCATCTATAAAGTGCGCTGTACAAATATTGTTTACTTCATGATAATAACATTTGCTTTGATTTCTTTGTGTGCAGGATGGATTAACAGCTTTATCTGCTGCTGCCAAGGAAGGACATGCAGACATTGTTGACTTATTGTTGAATAATGGAGCATATGTCAACATACAGGATAAGGTAACCATGGAAACCACCAATTAAACCACTAATTTGTTTTAGACAAGTTTAAATTCATTCATTCTTTATTTTAGCTAAATGAGGAAGCACTGAAACATGTAAAGAAAATATTAAAAACACAAAAATGAACAAAGGTGGAAAAGTATTTTTATAATATTATTTGTTAATATTATTTTAATAATTAAAGTTATATGTTATTAATGTTATTGGTATATGGAGTCATGTGTAAAATATGATAACATTGTTAACATTGTTTTTTTTTAGCATGATGACACTGTTCTAATTCATGCTGTAAAGGGCAACCATGTCCAAGTGGTTAAGGTATTGTTGGTCAAGTACGCAGATGTTGATGTCACCGGCCATGTAAGTATACAATTGAATCCAGCTGTGGTGTAGTGGTTATCTCCTTGCTTTGTAGTCCCAAGGTCCTGGGTTCAGTCAACATAGAGTCCATGGCCCATAAGCCTGGTTTCCAGTGCAATCATTGTACTGAGTAGCAGTCCCCAACGTAAACTAGAAGGCTCCACGATTTCCAAGACCAATCACCGAAAGCTGTCGGTGAGAGTGTGTAGCGATTGTATGAAAGCAAGCTTAAGCCACTTAGAGACTAGGATGCTAGAGCCCTAAGGACCTTAGTATCTTTTCAGCATAATAATATTAATAATAATAATAATAATAATAATAGTGTACATTTTTATAGAGCTGGTATTTTTTTTTTTTATTATTTTATTCGTGTATATGGTAAAATACAAAAAGCAGAACCAATTTGAAATTATTGTAGTACAAAAATTAAAGATTACAAAAAAAAAAAAATTCAAATGCATTTAAAAACACGAAATTACGAACACCGTTATCATTAATAAATATTAACAATAATAAAAATAAATTCATTAATCTATAAATTAATTAGACTTCAATATATATAAATTCATACATTATAAAAATTTGTGTTTTCAACCACTTAAAAAAAAATAAGCTACTTAATTAGTTCAATATCATTATTCATTATTGCAATTATTAAAATATATTTCTACTAATTATTTATTAACTATACACTTATTATTTTACTGAGTTTTATCATATATTTATCATTCAAGTGTTGTTGCATTGCAATTATATACTGTATATTAATAATGATAATAGTAATAATAATAATAATTAATTATCCATCAAACAAGATGCTCATAGCACTTATGTGGACTTTTTTTCACCTGTAATGGTACCTTTGTGTCTGTGGTACCTAGTAAATTGGTACCAGTCTAATCACAGCCCGACGAGTTCTGTCCGATAGGGGGGTTGACCCATCTGGTGGGGGGCTTTATCCCCTGATGTCTCCCCGCCGGCGCCGCCACTGGCTGTCTGTACCAATACACTGTGGTATCCCTCTACGATTATCTTCAATGATGTACTATGTTCTGTATAGTGCATACAAGCCATTGTGTATGCTAGGTCTATGGTTCCGAGAAGACTTGTTTACAACCAGAACCATAGAACCAGCACCAGTATTAAGGCTGTTGGTTGTGGCACCCACCTTGACCACTCGGTCAATCGACTCAGTGCACCACCACGTTTAATTCTGGTATAATGAAGCAGAATCTTATGCATTTGACTCTAATGATTATCAACATCTACCTGTCTTTCTCATTTCGTTGACAATCTAACAGCAAGAAAACCATTTAGCATGATTGCTAAGCCCTGATTGGCTGTCTAAATTATGCACAAGAAAAACACTTAAGCTTGCGACTTGGAATGTCAGTGATTATTATTAGCTTAGATATGCATCCATTTATCACTTAATCTTATCTGAGCCAGTCTTAAGAATGCTTTAGTCTGAAGCATCATTTTCTATTTTGTTCATTCTACTCTACATCTTTTATGTTTCTTTACATCCCATAATATGAAATCATCCACACTATTAAATTTTGTGTGAAATGTTTGTTTGATTTTTTCATATATGGGCATGATGATGTCACATTATATCCAAATATGGGCATATCACACCTACTCGATAGTTTGGACCGAGAATTATTAAATATTATTTATCAGAATAATTCTAGTTTTAAAGATATTTCAACTGTTATTGATATAATGCACAAGATCATCACAGTAATCTGTGATTATCTATAACTTTGCACCCATGTTTTAATAAACCACTTCTGGGAGATCTGTGACAGCACCAGTGGGGTGGGAGAACAGGGTGAGCTCCAGCCCAAGTCCCCCTGTCGGACAGCTCAGCCCCCCAGAAAATATATCATAGAGCTGCCACTGCTGTTTAAATGAGCTTTCTTAACACTGCTCTGATGATACCCATCAGCAACAACTTCTGAAAGATAATTTATAAATTAGTAATAAAAGCATGAAAATACCATGGATTTGAGGCACACTCGAGTTACTCTCCAGGAGATGTTTTGCTTGTTGGAGTTCGGGAGGCCATCCTGATTTCCATGGGACTGCCCCGATTGATTTTCATTAACTGTACACATTTTTTCTACTTTATTTTTAGCAAAATACCAATAATATTATAGTATTCCTAGAAAATTCATGAAAATTTGAATGAGTCACATTTCTGTGTTTTAGGACAAAAGGACAGCTCTGTTTTGGGCTGCTGATAGAGGGAACCCAGATATAATGGAGCTGTTGTTGGAGTTCAATGCTGATACTGAAATAAGTTCCAAGGTAGGATGGAATATTGAGCCTTCAGTTTGTTAGAACGGAATCACTCGTGCGTGCTACATTCTCTGCTTACGTAGATTTGGCCAAATTGCATCCTAGAATCCATGCAACGAGGAGAACTTGACTTTTAGTGACGTCATTCATTTTACGTCATTTTACCATCGTCGTGCAATTAAAAGCTCGCTCATATCCCAAGACAATGAATTTTACCCATTTTTATGTATTCACCTATTTATAATAAATATTGAATATGATATGAATATGATGATAAAATACTGGTATGTATTATTATAATTTATCTTGAAAAGCCTTTTAAATTTGGATATACTCATGAAAAAGTTTAGAGAAAGGAAGGTTTTTATTGTTAATAATTAAAACACTTATTTAATCAATTTACCTTTCTTAATTTTGCAGGATGGGGAATCCCCTTTGCTACGTGCCACTCGTAACCGCAACAGTGAGATAGTGAGGATCTTGCTAGACTACGATGCAAAAGTTGCCACTACCGATAAGGTAAACGTAGCAGCAGCTTCACTTGTGATTGGTTCTCCTAATCATGTGATCAATGTCAATGGTTTGATATTGTGTTTAATGCCATAATTTGAATGTCTTTTAATAGGATTAAATGGAATTTAGCATTTAATTGGGTGTTAACAAGTATGCTGACAGATTCATTTGGAAAATGGGTAGTGTGGAGTATTTTATGTTTTTTAGCCAATGCTGAGCTAAGTTGCTTTTCTTAATTCCAACCCAGAGTCTTTAAATGTCTTTTAACGGAGGTCGTGTTTAACGGAGGTCGTGTTTATCACTTTATCAATTTGCATTTGCATATCGTGTATTGAAGTCTCATCATCAGGCTTGTATTGTTATTTGATATCCATAGCGAGGAGACACCCCTCTTCATTTGGCCATCCGCTTCCGTGATCGTCGAATATCTGAACTGCTGCTTCGAAATCCTAAAGATGGCCGCTTACTATACAAACCCAACCGAGCTGGCGAGACTCCATACAACATCGATGCCTCACATCAAAAAGGAATCCTGTCCCAAATCTTTGGTGCAAGTGAGTACATTTCATTTATGTATTTGGTTTGAATTTATTTGTGAGAATTGAGTGTCTGATTTTATGAAGTAAAGTTTAGTATGTGGCTTATGATTTTAAAAATTACTAAGTAATATATTGAAGTATGTATGATTATTTAATATTTGTCAGGGATTAGTTTAACGAATGTGCTTCAAATATAATAATTTACCTCAATATTAGGAATTTTATTAAGTATTATTCATAGTTATTATTTATTTCATGGTTAGTGTAACAACATTTTAATGTTGAAAAGTTAATACATTTCACTACTTGTGTAAAGCCATTCATTTTTTTGTTGTTCCATTTGCCATGTTTGAATGTATTGAGGTCCTATAAATTGAATTTTGATTTTTTTTTTTTAAATTAAATATATTAAATCAATCTATTCTATCAAAATCATGTTTTAGATTGTGATTGAAAATAATCAATTTCATATGTTTTATAATGTGAGCTGAAACAATTTATAAAAATAGAATTTACAGGACATCAAATTATAGGCAAAATATTTATAGCAATGATATTGTTAGAAATGAGCCTGTTAATGTTAGAAAAATAATTGTTAAGTGTTAAGTTTGTAAGGACCCACCAATCAAATCACTCGAAGCATTCTTACAGTTCCATGAAACATGAAGCTAGCGAATCAAGTGTCATAAATTTTCTTGTTGAGTTCATGGCATCAGATGACTAACAGGTGCTTAATGTCAAGGAGACACCAGCGGGATGTCGTATGATGTCATAAAATGTTTGCAACATTATCGTGGCATTTACAATATGACGTTAACGAGCAGGGATTAGATTCTGCATTTTTTCACTCTGAAATTATAATCGACTGTATGGATGATAATTAAGATACCAATTACGTTAAGTGTAACAAGGAGAGGAAATTTCTCTTATGATATTAATTACTGTATCATAAGGCTAAATTATTTATAGATAAAAAAAAATCATTTCCTTCTCCATTCATTTATAGACCACCTCTTTTTATCTTATCTTTAAAAAAAAAATATTTCTAATTATTAGTTCTTATTGAGCACAAACATCATTTTTTTAAATGAAACAAACTAAAAACACATTTTAAAAATATATGTTTATTTTTATTTTTACATTTTTTTTTTGTATCCAATTATTAATTTCTAACACTAAAAAAATACTTGTGAGAGTTCAGTAAGTGTATGTTGCTTTGATTATTAAATAGAAACTTGATGCATTCAAGGGCCTGTCTAGTTTGCCTGGGGCCTATTTGGGTTGCCCGATGCTTGTTAAGCTTGCCCAGGGGCCTGTTGAGCTTTGCCAGGGCCTGGGGTGCTTGCCTGATGCAAGCTTCATGAAGCCGGCCTGATTTTCAAGCAGTTGTGAATTTTCACGGCTCATTTGGGAAATTTACAGACTTGACATAGTTTTCTTTTGCATTCAGTATTTGTGTACGTAATTGTGTGCTTAATACTGAATTGCCTCACTGGTATTGCTTGGTAGACAGTTGTTGCTTCTACATATATGAGCAAATGTACTAGGTTGATTAGTTAAGCTTGTTAAGGAGACTCTTATTTATGAGAGGCTTGCCAATAACAATCTTACTTAGAGTCTGCCCTAGAAATTTAGACTACTTCCAGAAATTAGTTGTCAAACTATCTCTGTTACACCATAAATTAAACAAGGTTCATATCACGTTTACACACAATGTTGTGTGTAAACGTGATATGAACCTTGTTTAATTTATGATACTAAGATGTCAAGCCTCAAATACAGTATTACACATGTATTTTATTGTCACACCACAGTCCATTTCATACACCTCTTATTGTTAAGGTTTCCATGGAGTAATGTTGTCTGGCAGCCATTGGTACAGTTTTTGTCGGCCTTTGTCTCGAGTTTCAAAAAAAAAAACTTGCTCACCACCAAGCTAAACAACATGTAATAAACATTTCTTGATAAATTAGATTAAAGTAGAACATTAAAGATGTATTGTTCCTTGCTAAATACCAAAAAAAAAAAAAAAATCATAAACATATTTTTTGAATTTAACTTGCCCATTTTGAAGTAACATGAAAGTTATCAACTTGATCATAGAAGTTAATGTATTTCAAAAATGTCTACCCATTAGTTTACAGCGAAAAATGATAGAAACACTTCCAGTAACTGGAAGTGTTTTATTATTTTTATTATAATTTTAAAAATCAAGGTACACATTTTTTAAATTCAATAATTTACTATTGCAATATATGAGCAAGTTTATTTCAAAATTATTTTTTATGATTTTTTGACATTAGCAAGGGACAATACATCTTTAATAGTATATTTCTTGAGAATGATGTTGCTTCCATTAGATTTGTTTACAGTCATTTAGAAGGCATTTATTTGAGGGAAGCATTTATTTCAAATGAGACTAAAGAGGTTGTTTATTCGAAGGGGCATTTAATAAAACAATTTCCTTCACAGAGAGTTTTACCCCCGGTGAAGATATCCAGGGAGAGCTGAGCGAGTTATATTGCAGCTCATTGGCTGACATGCTCAGTGAACCAACCCTCTCTCCACCAATCACTGTTGGGCTGTATGCTCGCTGGGGCAGTGGAAAGTGTTACGTTCTGAAGAAGCTTCAAGGTAACAGTAATCAATTTATTAATCATCATGCCAAAATATGGTCATGATGACATCATTTCATGGCCATATATAGGCACGTCATGACTATATATGGACATACAACAGTTTTTTATCAAAGAACATTTGATACTGTGGACAAAGCTTAAGCTACAACCTGCAATCTTGGGAGCTTTCGATTTGTGCGACAACGAGACGCTAGAACAGAATCACTCATGCGTGACCGTCCTACCTGGCGTCCTACGTTCTCTGCATACGTACAGTACATTTGGCCAAATTGGTAAAGTGATGATGCTGTGATTGTTATTTTTAATAATCTGGAGACTAGTGTCGCATAATTTATTATATTTTATTTTAGTTTAATTATTTGCACGGTATAAATAAATAACCTTTAACCTTTATTTTCTCAGAGGAATTAAAGCAATTTGCGTCTCAGAGCTTGACACCTCTTCTACAGCTGACCTGGACAATTTTCTTTGTCATCTTGTGTTTCTCTGCTTTTCTTGGTACGATCCTCTTTGTTGTGTCATCCGTGTCATCACCTCAACCAAACACAGATGTCACACCCTCTCCATCATCTACCAACTCACCAGCTTCTCCCCCAATGGCACCTCTTAAAGTTGCAATCTGTGGTGGCGCTGTTGTGTTTGCAGTACTATATACATTTCTATGTAAGTGAATTAAATTTAGCTTGAATGCATGAACTCTATACAATGGAGAATTCATTATTTGTCAAGGTACTGGTAAGTTCGAAAAAGAGGAACTTGGTTAATCAACTGTTAATGCTGATTTGTATGCATTTATTGTTAATTCAAATAATATGAACAAATTTCTCTTTCATTTCACAGTTTTTGTAAAATTTGGTAGTGGTAAGAAGTGGCGTTTTGCGTTGGCAATAAGTTCGTGGTTAGCTAGTTGGATTAATTATGTAGAACTTTTGTTAAAAATATCATACTGTTATCCACCGCCTGCTCCACCTCAAACAAACAAAGCTCTGCCAATCAGGTATGTTTCACTCTTTAATCGTTTACTTTACTCATCTGCCAATCAGTTAAAGTTTTCGGTTTTTACTCACTCATTTTTTGTATCTATAATCTATGTTTCATTCCACAAGTTTGTACTTTAATTGAGGAGTTGTTTAGTTTAATTGAATGTGTAAAAGTTTTTTAGATTTTATGCCCAATATTTTATATTAAAGTTCACTAATGTGTATCGTAAACCAGATACTAATTAGGAACATGTATTTTTTTTATTCTAGGTTTATTTTTGCGGACCGATTAAGATTGACCAATATAGGAGGTGAAACGCCCTTGGCGCGGACTGTAGGGACTTTATGCTCGGCTGTTGAGAAAGAGGTTGGATTTATTGCTTCCCGACTAACACGCGTTCTACGAACAAAAGTAGAGGAAGGTTGGTTGGTTGGTGTTTTATTTATTCAATTTTTTATTCAACAATATTTTGAGATGATGACCCATCCAGTGTGAGCTGATTTTAAGAGGCCCTCAACAATAATAATGAGATTTACATAAACATTATCATAATAAAAATAAATAGTTTCTTTAAATTTTATATAAAGTTATAAAATTCAATTTTATAATTGGATCTAAGATCTGTCCACACTATCTTTTACAAAAAAACTGTTGTATGCCCATATATAGTCATGGTGTGATGTCATCATGACCATATTTAGGTATTTTATTGTCATGGACCTTTCCACTAAACCCCCTCCTTGGATATTGTTGCTAAGGTCCCACAAAAGACAGTGTAAAAGGATACGCAAACACGTGAGATTGTGGAACAACACGTGTGTTTGTGATTGGTCAGTTGTTAAGTTTGATTGACACTACATAAAGGTCTATTCCTGTTATGGTTTTTAAAATAAATTTAAATCAGTTTTTTGTTTTATTTTCCAGATAAATATGGTTACAAATGGAGGTGTTGTCTGCCGCAGTTTGCTTTGTCAGTTATGATCTTCCTCTGTTTTATGGTATCCGCTATTCTGCTCGCTGTTTATCGTTGCACCAACACCAAAATTAACATAGTAGTCTACATCTTGTTCGGCTTGGTTCTCACTGCCATTCTCGTAAACTTGCCGGTTGTTTTGCGGTTTATATTTGCTCTCACACACTCACCCAAGACACATGTTTTGCGATCAGCAAAAAAAGCGGATAAACGAAAGACAAAGGACTTTATGCGAGTTTTGAAAAAGGAGGTTGAGACGTTGTCGCAAATGGTGAAGAGCATTGATGCATTCCTTGAAACACAAACACGATTGGTTGTGATCGTAGACGGGTTAGATAGCTGCGAACAAGAGCATGTTTTACGTGTATTAGACTCCGTGCACTCGCTGTTTAATGGCAATGATAGTCCCTATATTACTATATTAGCTTTGGACCCGTATATTATAACAAAAGCTATTGATCAAAATCTTCACAAAGTGTTCAAGGAGACTAATATTAACGGGCATGACTATCTTCGTAATATTGTACACCTTCCATTTTACTTACAAGCTGGTATTCAAACGCAGGAAACGCAGCAGATGGCTGCTGCCCTCGCAACCAATGCACTGCCCTCATCTGTCGTAAGTCAACATTTGTATTTGGTTCATCAGTTGGCAGTGGGTACTGTAACTGATAATTATTGTAAAATGTTGATGTACTGTATTGCAAGAATGAGGGTGGTAGTGAGGATGTGACAGGTGTGGGATGTGACAGGAGGGGTAAAGGTTGAGAGTAACATGATTAGTAAAGTTTAAATGTGAAAGTGACCTGTGGAAGAAAACAACCCAAGGCTTTGAAGTCTCCCCAGGATGGTGGTACCCCAGGGTCAAGATATAACCATAATAGGACAAACTCCCGAGTGGGGCTGAAGAATGAACACAGATGGTTCCAGAATTTCCAAAGCAGCAGACAATGTTCAGTGGTGCTGTGACAATGGTACTCAAGGTGCACACTGAGGATAGATACTACGCAGTCAATGTTAATTTGTGACTATTGTATAATGTCACTTTTTGTTTTATTGTTTGTTAATTTGCTTTGGGGACAAGCAAATTACCTGGATAAGAAAATTTTGATAATCATATTCAATACAATACAAAGCAGTACTATGTCTTGTCCTCACTATAACATTTTATGTGACAAATTTATGTGATGTCACATTATGGGTGTGTCACATTTATTTGTCACATACAATTTTATAGTGTGAACTGAGCTTTATTCTCATGTGTTTGTTTCATTGCTTGTGTGTGGATAGTTCATATAATAAGCGTAGAAGTCGACACGTATCTGTTTATGTACACTGATTGTCTTATTATTTAATTGATGTTATTTTTCTAACAACCGATTCCGATTAGTTCTGTAATTGTATGTTTATTGTAGTAGTGTTGAGATCACATGTCTGTGTGAATTTGTTTGTCTCCCTCTATTGGCTTCTTATTCTACATGTATTCAAACTACAATTCGTATGCAGTATAAATTACATTATGGTAGGTATACAATTCCCTCCATCATCACATCACAACTTAAATGACAAATTCCCCCACCTTCCTTCCCTGCCCCTACACACTCAGTTTTAAATGTTTTGGGGTTATACAACATACAAGAATGGTCTTCATTTATAAACAAAAGGAAGAAAATCAAGTTGTACTTTTATTTATATATCTTTATTATATTGCCACTTTATAAAATTACGACCTTTGACCTTACATCCAACAGCTTTATACCATCAAGGAAGAAAATGAATTTAAGGCTCAAGAACGCCCGATCCTCCGAAGGCAAAAAGTGCTTCAGTCGGTACCTATAACCTTTAACCCTTTTCACTTGTGCAGGGCATTGTGGGATGTCTTACTCATACTTTCATTATTTCAACACTCACAGCTAAGCTAACATCAACTACTTGTTTAATGTTTACTGCCCATATATAGTCATGATGTGCCTATATATGGTCAAGATGTGATGTTATCATGACCATATAATATACAAACTTACTACTTGTTTAATGTTTACTGACTTCAAATATATGCATGTCCTGTTTTTTTAATTTAAATTCATTTTTTCAGCATTTAAAAATTAACTGCATGTTGAATGGAGAGTATGTCATATTTAAGCCCTGTTCAGATTTTCAAATGTTTTTTGACAAAAAACTGTTGTATGCCCATATATAGTCATGATGTGCCTGTATATGATCATGATGTGATGTCATCATGACCATATTTAGGCATGTCACATGGACAGGGCTTTAGATTGTTTATGTGATATTTAAACTTGTGAATCAGTGAGTAATCACACTAACCAGCATGGACTAAAGTGGACAGTAAAAACTTGAGGTATTGGTCAATATTGGCTTGTCCAGTGACCTGTAAAGTGCTTTGTGTGTGCAGTGTCTTTGGTCTGCAGTTGTATTAAATTTATTGGTAGTTGATCATTGTTTTTTCTTTTTATTTTTGTTGTACTATAGCCTGGTTCGAACCCACCCTCCCCCGATGCTGTCCGTGCAAATGGATCAAAACGCCACATGTCTTCCATAAACCAACCTGCCGTCACTAATACCCGCGATGTCTCCAAATTACTAATGTCCGACGAACAGTTCAGTGACCTCAGTCCTCGGAGTATGAGACGGCTACTCAACATAGTATCTGTCACAGGTGATTTATTTTTTATATGTGGCAAAGACAAGCCAAACCAGTCACTCGTCGCAAATCGTGTTTTAGAGAAAATGGCCATAACATGCTGGAATGTCAATTTTTTTTAAATATATTTTATTGCACTAAACTAATCTTCACATATCTATACATCATTCTATGCTGTTATTTTCCCCATTTTCAATGTTAACACAACACTTTTTAAGGATTTGATGATAGTTTCTGCATGAGAAATGCCTGAAATCATAAACTTTGAAGGCAGATTTCTCATATATTGTTCTTTAAACAGCTGTATGTTTAAACGCTTGTAACTTCATAAGGAAATGTCCGATTTGATTTTTTTTTTTACCATTTTATAGCTATTATTTTACTCTCTAACACTGTATTAATAACTCAAAATCGATTTTTGCGACGAGTGACTGGTTTGGCTTGTCTTTGCCACATATATTACTATTATACAATGAAACTAATGTATATTTTTCAATTTAATAACGTTTATAATTAATTCTTCACTTGTATAGTAATTTTTATGTTTTTTATATGTATTGAAGACATCCTGTAATTGGCTTTACTGTTGCTGTTGGATGATATTTGAAATAAAAAAATTAAAAATTAGTAAAAAACTATAATTATTAATAGGTAATACTATGCATTTATATTTTGTTTAGTATAAATTTCCGCTACTCTTGTTACTGTTTTCACTAGGTCGACTGTTACGTGCACACGGTATTGAGTTCAGATGGCAGAAGCTCGCTATTTGGGTGAACATGACAGAAAGATGGCCGTACCGAACGTCGTGGCTAGTTGTGATATACCTGTACAACGAGACTGCTAATGACGATGATGTCACACTTCAAACACTTTATGAAAAGTAAAGGAATATTTTGCATTTTAAATCATCATTTTTGTGTAACATAATGTAATATTCTACCATATCAGCAGCAAAGCAACTTCATGGTTACCATGAGAGGGTGATTAATTTTACAAATAATATGCTTTTTTTTTCCCTCATTCATGTATATATATATATATATATATGTATATATATATATATACATACACATACACACACTACCATGGGTAAACGATAACAATAGAAAGGGTTAGAAATAATACCGTAAGGCGAAAATACTGCCGCTAAGGGGAAATCTTAACGACGTTAAGGAGAAATATAGACAAAGGATTTTTCACTGTGATGTAGAATTACATTTTCAATTGTGACGACAACATGAATGTACGGTAAATTCACTCTCTTTGAAGACTGTCTCTTATACACATCTAGATGTGTATAAGAGACAGTTATTATTCGATGTCCAATAATTAAACATGTAGGCTGCCGAGACCGATGATTAGTGCCAACAAAATGTTTACAAAATCTTAATGCACTTAAGGTAGGCTTTCTTCATAAAGGCTTTTATGAATGGATGTCTTGCTGTGGAGCAAGAAATCAAGTTGTCCATCTTCACTACCGCTTGATTATAAATTGATGGGAAAACAACCAATAGTTATAATGTTTTTCTGTTCCAATTTCTATAAATGTGAACTAAAATCTCCATCATAACAACTGATTTTGAATCCTATGGTAAATTTACCAGATATTTAATGAACATAATTTCTTATGTTTTTATAGATACAATTGAAAATACAAATTCTGGATCTGCAAATACACTGTCTACCATCGCACGTCCAAATAGCTTCATTCCCAGCTACGTAGGTCGCGAATCACCTGGGGTGTCACTGCATTCAGCCACTAGTGAGACTGTACGCAAATTGAATTATACCATGAACATGCAGAATCCCTTTCCAAAACGAGTAAGTTTAATAAACTCATGTATTTATTTGTATATGTCTATGTGTATATGTATACACATTTATAGGTGCAACTTTGGATTTGGCATCCTAAAACCAAAAGCACACCGAATCCAACTTTTGGGATCGAAAAGCCTACCGACCAATCAGAAAATCGAATCAGTGTGTAAAAATAGGGACTCTGGCGTTTGCGCATCAGAAATGCGGTCAGAAATTTAATTTGTATCCGATGTAAAAGCATCTTTATATTATACTATATAGTGGATTCAACATTTCTTTCAAAATTTGTCTACAATGATCTTGTATGCTGTATTTTCTCTTCGGCTAGTAAATTTATTTCCTCTGATAAGCTTATCAAGGGATATTACAGGCTGCAGATACTCTTGCGCAAACTAAGAACCATTACTTCCTCCCATCACAATTATTTTCATTGAATAATTTTAATGTATTCGTTACTGGAAATAAATATTAGTATGCTTATTTTTTAGACACCACAGTATAGTGGTACAACACCAACGGTGAAGGATGTCTGTGATCGCTTGTTAACCCTGGAGGGTTTAGATTTGAGTGCAATTCCACGTTATCAAGCTAAGATCGCGGAACACAATATTAATGGCCACGTTCTTCAGCAGTGTGAAATAGATGAACTGAAGAATTTACTTGGGATGTCGTTTGGAGATTGGCAGATTTTTCGCAGTATGGTTCTCCAGTTACGTGATCAAATGATGTGTTTCCCCTGTGGCGGAAGCATTTCAAGTGGTGACCAGACCCAGAACGAACCAATTATGATTACTAATCCAGTGCCATCAGTCTCCTCCCAGTCTCATAATGACTATCTAAATCTGAGCTTTGAAGAACTTAGAAAGAACTCACGACCTCCCTCTTCGGACTCTTCCACTCATTCGTCCTTCCATACCTCACACCCATACCTTGGCATGTCACCGAGTGAGCAGCATAGCAACTCTGTAGGACTTCCATTGAGTATTGTCAGCACTACTTTTCACCAAGAGGATGAAAAAGCAGATGCCAAGAAGACTACCAAAAAGTCAAAAATCAAGACCAGTGCTAATGGTGATGGTCTTGTTCCTTCAATAACAACTCCCCTGACATCAGTAACTGCTTCTTACAACCATAGGAATGATCTCAGAGTTTCGCAGAGACAAAATGGAATTCCTCATATCCAGAACGGTCACATGGGTCTGGCTATGGAGTGTGATCAGACAGGATCATCTGCATCCACTGCCCAGGAAGTTTCTGTAGACAGTCATCCAACCATGTTCCAGGTTGTAGATGAAAACTTGCCAGGATCAGAAGATGAAATGTTTGAGATGTGGGAGGAAGAATTTCCTAAAGTTGGAGAAGAGAGTCCGAAGAGGAAGTATAGATTTGGTGATAGTCAAACCTCCCTCTCAGGAAGTATTGAAAAATTAAAAAGTAAGCTATCACAGAGTATTGAAAATTTGCAAAAACGGAGTGATAATCAAGAATATTTGAGGAGTGGTGGAAACGGTTACCATGAGACTCATTTAATAAGCAGAAGCAATGAGAGCCTTGATGACAGAGATTGTGAAAGTGCCCCTCTTCTTCAAGCCTTCCACCAAGTCAACCCCGATGGAAATCCCACCTCTTTTGAGAATGACAGTGGTCATGCAAGCTCTAGCGAGAAAGGTTCTCCAACAGATGCGGCACTAAAAGCAGCAGCTGCTGCTGCTGCTGCAGCAATATCTCCGAGACCTCTTGATAGTCCCACCAGAAAAATCCACCGTGATATTGACAGAGCTCTCCAGTCTGCACGAGCGGCTCAAAGAGCTGAGCAGTCAGATTGTGCGAATTACTTATTAAATCAACAAGAGCTTGAAGAAGAGGATAGGACATCCCATGAGCAATCTCTTCTTTCAGGATACTCATTCTACACTAGTAATCAAGAACTTCCAAGTGTTTCAGAAACTGAACACTTCCCTGTGTTGTCAAGTTCCTCTGCATCGTTCCCAAACACTCCTCAAAAAGCTCTGTCAACTTCCAATAATGGGAAGCCGTACTACAAGTCAATACAATCAATGGAAGAGTACAGTTGCATACCAATGTCTTTGCGACCGTTGATCCGCAGTCGCTCCACTCCGAACCAGTTCTCAGAAACAAATCCATCGTACTTCACAAAGCAGGTTCAAGAAGGAAGCATGAAAACTCTGGACCAAAGCTTTGAAGCTTTTGTAACCTTGACAGCTGAGCAGAGCCAGAGAAGGTATGTTAATATTGACGGAGAGAATTCATCTCCTGTTCGAGCTCAGAGTAGTCCATATCGAATGTCTGCCCCGATGGAAGTATTTAGCATAGTTCAGCAAGGCTCCCTGGAGATTAAGCCACACCCTAGGCAGCATAGTGATACATTAGTATGATAGTCAAGACCTAGTGAAAAAGCCACCAGTGTCAAGTCAATAGAAGCGAATGACTGAATGAGGATTCAAGCTGTTGATAAAACAAAAATTTTGTTAATATTATCAAATATCAGAAAAGATAATCATTTGGTTCCAGGGTAAACTTTTATGAAAGGCAACATTATCAAAGTTGATGATGGACACAGAAAGCCTAAATGGAAAATGTCAATTTGATTTGAATGCTTACCAGATCTTAACTTAGTATTGGTACTACCAGATGGTATTAGTACTAGGTTAGCATACTTTGTTTTGGTACTACCACATAGTATGGTACTTGGTTTGGTACTCTTTATTGGTATTACCAGACAGTATTTGTACATGGTTTTGGTACAGTACACTGTATTGGTACTACCATATGGTATCGGTTTTTAATGCTGAAAGTGTTTTGTTATACATGTTGTTAAGTTTGATGTTTGAAAATATGAAGAAGAAGTAACACTTGATACAATGTGAGATTAGTAAAATAAGGCAATAGGTGCCATTTCATTTGTGGAATATAATTAACAAGACCTGTTTTCCGGTTGTCATTTTACCCTCTAAATGATGGCGATTATCTAGATCAAATGGCCTGTTTGTGAACATTTGTCATTATAGATGGTGACCTCCTTTTGTCATAGATGGTGACCTTGTGTCATCATAGATTGTGACTTCCTTGTGTCATTGTAGATGGTGACATCTTTTGGTCATCGAAGATTGCTGGGACCTCCTTGGGCCATCATAGATGGTGAAAACCTCCTTTTGTCATAGATGGTGACCTTGTGTCATCATAGATTGTGAGTTCTTTTGTGTCATTTTAGATGATGACATCTTTGGGTCATCATAGATTTGCTGGGACCGCCTTAGGCCATCATAGATGGTGACCTACTTGTGTTATAGATGGTGACCTTGTGTCATCATAGATTGTGATTTCCTTTGTGTCATTGTAGAAGATGACATCTTTGTTTCATCATAGATTGCTGGGACCGCCTTAGGCCATCATAGATGCAACATTGTGTCATAGATGGTGACCTTGTGTCATCATAGATTGTGACTTCCTTTTGCTGTAGATGGTGACTTCCTTGGGTCATTGTAGATGGTGGCAGCCTAGTGTCATTACAGATGGTGACTTTTTAGTGTCAGTGTAGATGATTGTGGTGCTTTGTGCTAACGTGAGAATGAGTATTATTCAATGATGGTGCCACACTCAAATTGTGCTATGTGTGTAGAAACATTTTAAACATATTTAGATAAAGGAAGATGACAAATTACCTACAATTTTGACTTGAAATGTTTTCATTTATGAGTAACTTTTTTTAACTAATAATTATAAACAAAGTTCCAGATTACAGTTTTGTTGTAAAATTCTTTTAATTGTAAAAAAAAATATTTAAGAAATATTAAGTAAAATAATTTAGTTAAACATTTATGTTTCAGATTTTATGTAATTATTTATTACTCTTATTTATTAATAAAATAAATAAAGAAATAAACAATTCCGTATTGAAATATTGATATACAATGATTACTTTGATAAGAAAAAAAAGGAAAAAGATGTTCTTCAATTTTAATATTAATGTTAAATACCATAACTGTTACGTATTTGTTTACTTTTGTGATTGATAATTTTAATGCCCGCCCAAGTATATTTTAATTTTAATTTGACTTTAAATGACCTCTAAAAAAGTTGCCATGACATTCAAAAGTGTCATCAGTCTGTTTCATATCATAGATCAGTTTTATATATGTTATTCTGTGTTCTTTTGCTGGTTGGGGTTAACCTTATTTTTGACTAGGATACTGCAGCACTATTATTATCAGTGCCATGCTTATGTCATACAATTCTGCTTACAGCTTGAGGCATGAGAAGTAGATAATGCCCTGATTTTGTTTAATGTATTGAAGAAAGGAAATATAATGTAATGCCGTAATCTGTAGCTTAAGGACATATTCTATCATGATAGAATTTTTTTTTTTTTAAATCCTTCCAGTAAGACAACATTTAATTATAGAAAATTAATAAAAGTGAGAAGAATGTGCATAATTGTTGTAAGAATTTAATACATTTTGTTAGTGGTGCAATATTGTATATGGCAAGTACTTGAGATGGTGTGAAAATAGTAAGTAGCTCAATTACATGAGATGGTGTGCAAATAGTAGTTAGCTCTCATTTGCATAATATTCAAATTAGTAGTTTTAATTAATCTCAACTTTTGACTGAGGCTTCCACCTAAATATAACAGAAAATATTCAAATAAAGTCTTCATTGTCATCTGAAAACTCTTGCACTGTGATGTAGAATTACATTTTCAATTGTGACGACAACATGAATGTACGGTAAATTCACTCTCTTTGAAGATTGTAGATTGGCTGAAACAACCCAGTTTGGACCACAAGAATTAAAAGCGTTTGCATGATGTCAATCGACACAATGAATCTTTCGGGTGTGTCAATTAGACTTAACTGACCAATCAGCACAGTGCTGGGAATACGCACATGTACAACATGCACGTGTGTTGACCCACAAACGCACGTACGTGTGTTCACATATTTTTTAACCTTTAGATATTGTGTTACCTTATCAACAATATCCAAGTTGCGGGGCTTAGCGGAAGATCCATTGAACGCGCGGGGCTTAGCGGAAGATCCATTGAACACGCTACCTATGATTTTGTAATTGTTTTCAAATTGCCTCAAGATTCACCGAAGCATGACTAATTAAACGTTTCATTATAAAATATTGTCTGTGCTCCAAAATTTAGACACGTATTCATCAAATGCGTGCTTATAGTTTTCTACTCAGAAATGTATGCTCACCCTTCTCAACAGCATCATCATGGCCAATTTTCAATGGCAATGATCAAGGTGCACCCCTTCTTTACGGCCATCTTTGTGCCATATTGAAACTTCTGTTCAAATGGCACGAAGATCAAATCAAATTCATTTGTGTTAAGCCCTATCCAGACTATCAAATTTTATTTGACAAAATCATATGACATGCAACGTAAATATGATCATGAAGACATTTTGGACGTAATATAGGCACATGATGACATGTGGGTATACATCTCGAAGTACTGCCATCAAAAAGTTGCCAGATTATTGTAAAATTATTTATAAGTATTTGACAGTTTATGATTGTATTTATTGCTTAAGTACATTTAAAGAGTATAGAACTATAAGAGGTCCGACTCTCTGGGTTTCTTCAAAAAGTATTATCAAACTAGAGGGCGTCCTTCAAAATATTGTAAACAGCGTGCCCCCTATCTCAAAATACTTTTTTAACGTTTCATTGCGTGCATACAAATTCAGGGAAGTAGGACCTCTTGAAATTCTATACTCAGTATATTTGTCAACAATTATTTGCTGGGATAATATTTGATGTTATTGTTCATTTATATTTTCTGGTATATGTTGTCATAATGTGGTGATCATGCCACCTTCCAATGTGCTTACCATCCGGGCAAAAGCCTACATGATACAAACCAACAAAATTCTGTTTAAAGGTATAAAGAATTCTTGCATTTTAAAACTGTTTTTTGTTTTTTTTTTGTTTTTTTTTTTCGTGATACTTTCTGTAATGGTTTTGTGTTAACATTCTTATAAGCATTTATATTATTTCCATTATATTATATTTATTATTATCATCATTGCTACTACAGTATTATTATTATTATTTATTATTGCTGTATATTTGTATTATTGTTATTATTACTTTACTTGCATTTTGTTGTTTTTGTTTATTTAGTATTATCGCTTTATAAATTATATATTTATGATCTTATATTCTTATAATAATAATAATAATAATAATTATTATTATTATTATTATTATTATTATTTAATATTAATATTATTATTTAATCCCAATATTGAAGTTGAATTGTCTTTCAAAAAAAAATCACTATAATTCATAATATATATTTTTTTTTAAATTATATTTGGAACACCTTAATTGCAGTGAAAAATCATTTGAGTTAAATAGAGTAAACATAATTTGTTTTTAATTGTGTTTTTTCACCTCCAAATCTTCTTGCAGTCGCATGCTAAGTTTTGCTAGAACAAAATTGTCACATCGGCAATGTATTTGAGACGCGAATACGTCCTTTGATAATATTGAAGCAGGAGGTGGTTGGAGTCCGGTTATCACTCTTGAATCACGGGCTTCAACTCATGATGTGTGCTTAGGGATCTCCTGCCATACATTGCGTTGTGTGGAGATTGTCTACTTTTCTGTTATATAAGGTGTTACCTGTTTCATTCACCGAGGCATTTATAGACCGAGTCCTTTGTATTCAAATTAATTGTAAGTTCTTTTAATTGGAATATATAATCCCTCTTTATAAGGATACACAAGACTTTTCTAATATATTTCTCTGGTAAAATTCAGTTTCTACTGAATGCAATCGTATAGCTGCGGTAGAATATAAATTAAATCGCCCAGTCATGTAGTTGTGTCAGATTCCGGGGAGATGTTCTTATAGTTTATAATTGGTTTTAATTTGTTTCCCTTTTACCGTGTCCCGTTACCGCTTCTGGTTAACACATTTTGTTTCCGCGTCCATTGTAAATTAGCCTAAATATTATTTTTAAAATAAAATTATAGTAACTCATGAAATCAAATTTCTTCAACAGAATATTTTGGAAAAGGTGTTTATTTCACTTCACTTAAAAAGTTGTAAACATCAATTATATTTCACTGTAGAATCTTATTCGAAATGCAAACAATTTCCTATCCTTGATTTTACAGATAAATTATTAATCATACCAAGCATGTTGGGCCTAGGCCAGAAAGGAAGTGTCCATTTATGTTTAGTTTTATTTTGAATTGAAAGCAATAATGTGAACGCAGTGTGTAATGGTTTCTGATGTAATATGAAAACTTATAGCATTAGATTTTATAATTTCATTATTTATGCGAATGAACGATTATAGGACGCACGCTGTTTAAAGTAGCTATTTTACATGATTTCCTTCGTTTCTTCCGGCGGCCACGATACATGTCTACCTAAAATTCGATTGTAGGCCAGTTTTGTTCTTCAAAAAATCATGGAGCACTTTAAACGCCGTGAAATAAAGATTAAATTGCAATTGACCTCTGTTAATATGCATGCTCATTTATGCTTAATAAACGGCATCTAAACACAATTATAAAACTGTAGAATGAGAGACTACTTCTAAAACCGGGCTCTCATTGTGTCTGGCGGTCGTTGGCCGATGCGATTCTATGGAGAACGCAACATCACAACTCGCGCACATCGGATCGTTTTTAATAACGATCCGTTCAGACGGCGTCGCATTGTCGAGCGCTCGCAGGGAGCGGCACAACCATCGTACAGCGTAGTGAGTGCCCGGCTTATGGTTTTCAGTTTTTTATGTTTGATTTGTACTTTGAAGGTGTCCAGCAATATTTTAATATTTTAATTTACTGTAATAATAGGTGTCAAGTAAAAAGCATCATGTTTAAAATTGCAATACTGTATCTTCAAAACAATTGAATCGTGGTAGTCTGTAATGCGTATCCATTTGTTAAGTAACATGCAGACGATTACAGATTTAAGTTGGTAACTATTTAATCGTGTCTAAAAGGCTGAATTTTACGGATGAATGTAATTAATGGTAGACACATCCGAATTATCTTCGATTGTTGAAGTATTTGTACTGTATTTTCATTATAGAGTAGGCCTATGTGGAAGGTTTGTTTTTTTAAACTCGCTTTCTTAAACGCTTGTGTTTAACGCGTCATGTCACTCAATTAGAGTTGTACGAAAGATGCAATATCTAGTGAAGATGCTATAACAGTAATTTTTTTTGGAAAAAAAAACACTTTTTCATGGTAGAAAAATTTTGTGTGATGAAAATTTAATGCAATATTAGTAAGATTGATAAGTTAGAGGTATTTGTGAGTAGCCTGTAGACTTCGATGTTTGATTGTATAGAATATATACATAATAATAAGACGTGAATAATTTTTTTTTCACAAAGCATTACGTAATAAGGCCGATTTACACACTGCGCGGGACCACATGACAACGCGGCACGCGACCTCGATATATAACATTCTGTCTCGCGAGTACAATTCAAAACAACGATCGGGTCACGCTTGTTCGTGGTGTGTGTAAATCGATCCTTTATTCATTGATGTGTGTGTATTTTGTTAGTATTGAATACTTTATGATTATAGGCTATATAGTTATAGGTATGCTCGATGCCTATCAAGTGACTTATTGACATTGTATAAACGTACTTGAAACAACTGTAATAATGCACAGCAGTCGAGTGGTTGATATGTTCCATGCTGCTGGTCAGTTTCAACTAATTATTATTGTATCGATAATATCACGAATAAATCCCTTTTTCAGAGTGCAACTACACTTTTGTTTTCGAAAGTGTGTGTGTTTCATTTTAAAAATAGCCTTGAACGTGCCTCATTATGCGTGCTTATATAGAAATTAGCTTACGCGGAAATGTGTCATGGGTTCATGATTCGTTAGATACAATATCCGAACTAACCGTGAATGTTAATTATTATTAAAGCTATTATACTATCTTTGGTAGAATCTGGGACACCCTCAAAATTCAATTAAAAAGAATTGCGCAGTTATATCAATGTCAAATACTGAGACACGGGGCGGAAACATTCAATTTATCAATATAGACATTTTAACCCGACTACGAAAATTCAACTGTAAAATTATGAATACGACATGTTATTTAAGTTGATTTTTATTTTATACATTAAAACTAAAACCCTGACAATGTGTATAATTGGCCCGAATATTGGTGAGAGGTTGCCTATGGATAATAACATCCATATATGGACATGATATTTATATTTGTCGCATACAATTTAACAGTATTCAAACATTGTCAGCCGAAGCTGCAGTGGTGCACTGAATAAATCGTCAGTTGATTGAAGCTGCGCGTCCATCATCACACATTTCTCGTATGTCTTTTTGATGATTATATAGTAGGCCTATGACTTGTTGGTAATGATTAAACATATCTTATTGTTTGTTTATTTGCACCCTGTGCATTACTTTAGACTTTAATACTGTTTTTCTTCTCAATCAATCGTTGTTAGCTTTGTATTTCATTTTAATTTTTTTGTTCTTTGTATTATACCGATATTGTAACTTGACTGTAATTAGGGTGCTTTCGATTGCACGACGACGGTAGGACGTAGACCGTAATGACGCATACGAGAACGTTAAGGCGGTCACCTCGTCGAGTAGATTCTGAAACGCAATTTGGCCAAATCTACGGTACGTATGCAGCTCAGAAAACGTAGGACGCCAGGTAGGACGGTCACGCATGAGTGATTACGTTCTATTGTCGTCGTCGCACACAAATCGAAAACTCCCTAAGTATGGACGCAACACAGTGCAGGTGTGTGTCACTGTTCCTAATGAAGTGAGTTCAATAAAGCTGAATACAGGGGAAATTTCAAAGGAAGAAAATAAAAATTATATTCAAATTTAAGCATAAGAGTGCCATTTCCGGTCATCTGGTGGTGCCATAATCATCATATTTCTTTTGTCGGCCACAATGGTTGGGCTGAGGTGGCCTTCTGTCTGTGGAAGTCTCTCCCCGGGCCCCCTCTATTTTTAATTGCATGGATTCGCCACTGGTTACGACCAACGCACATGATAAACATCTGCAATACTTTAAAATAGATTTTAAATGATTATTTCGAGTAAACACCTGATTGTTGCATATACACTTAGCGCGTTAATTCTCCGCTAAGTAGCTTTTTAATGGTCAGAGACGAAACATTCAAAAGAAACAAAAAAGCGTGGAGCCATTCTTATATAATAACAATTTTAATTACAACCGATGCCATTCGTTTACCAAACAGTGAGACCATCATAAAGACTTACGTAACAACGCATAAGACTCCTTTTTACAATAACGTTCATAGATCTATCTATGGTTGGGTTGCTGCATTAATATATTTCAGTTGAGATACTATAAGGATTCCTCTTACTAAGCCGTATTTTTGGCCTATTGTTGCTTTTCAGCTGTAAGCCTATGATGAGGCATAAATGAGACGAACGGACGTGAAAGAAGGGCTTTCTCAACTACGCTACAAAGGTTTTCTAACAGTGAATTGGTTGGGAATTGTACATCGGTTGGGTGTGCACCTTACGAGTGGCCTCCACAACTTGTTTTCTGAAAGTCACCTTTTCTACTTTTTACGCATTGAGCATTTACTAAGTGGATATGTGCGCTATATAAATCGTATTTATGTATTATTTTATTGAAGAAAAACGTTTTATTATACTATTTACTTATGATCCCTGTGGTATCTTACAGTCGGGCAGAGTGCTAGATATGCTAATTAAATTAATCACCGTAATTTAGCTTACACTTATGAATTTAGGGAGCACTTAAAATGTGAAATAATCATTTCACTACCCGACAAACTCCGAACTTTATTCATTCATTTGGCCTACATAATAGTTTCATATTGCTGTACTGTATACTCCAACATCACTGGCGCATGGTAACAACCAACTGACTGCAGACCATTTCCGGTCAGTGCGGTCACACATTACTCTTCATAACACAGCACCCCCTAGTTCCGTCACCTCTAGATATGAACAGTCTAATCTAAATCGCAGAAATCTGGATACAAAATTTGTAATTTATAAAGTCGAAATTTTGGCACCTAAAAAATGTAGCAGCCGCAAGAACACAAACAGCAGAGAACAATAGACATTCGTAGTTTATAATTCACAGTTCTTTGAATATAATAATAATAATGTACACAATATTAAAGGACAATTAAAGTAACATTACTGTACGGAAACACTTAATTAGAAAAGCAAGCCTGAAATTAAAAAGTACCTCCGTCATTGACTACCGTATTAATACAATCAGTATTCGAAAACTTCAACTGACGGAGGTTTTATTTTTAGTAACATTTGATGCTAAAACTAATGCATATTTCATCATATTGTACATTTATCTACGTTTTTTAAAATGTTTATTGTAATATGTAATTAATGCAATTTTTGTTAAACATCTGTCTATATCATACAAAGCTTTCCAAGGTGACATTTTGTTTAAGGCATGGCCGTGGTCTTCAAATATTAGACCAACACCACGTTTCTTCAAAAATTCATATAAATTCAAGATGGTATGTAAAAAATAAATAAACTGAGCTAATAGTATATTCTAATGTTAATATTAAAAGTACCTATGTTGATGTTTCCCTCTCATTTTTTTGACTTTCTTCTGTCCCAGAAACGCCAGATAGTTTTCGTTGTCTAAGCAACGCGAGATCACCACTCTCGTCCCCGCCCGCGTCCCCGTCATCATCACGAAATTGAACAGGGTGATACCGTTGGTCAATTTGGTTGTGGCTGATTGTGTTTAATCTCAAGAGATTCCCATGGAAACATCCACCTTGCATTCTCCTTGATCTCAGAACAAGATTGATAATGACGATAACCAAAATGATTATGATCAGCAGCGATATTGATAGTAATATCTTCATCTGCGTAAGGTCTAGTCCTGTGTCTTTTTCGTTGTGCTCGGGTTTTGCCACCCTCCTTGATAACTCTGGCGTCGACTCCTTATTAACGGCGGTTATTGGTTCGTTTGTAGTGAATGCTTGTTCTTCGACAACTTCAATCATGGCACTACCAGATACCATAGTGTATTTAATTGAAACGTTACATGTTACCATCCTGCCATTGTCACTGTGTTGGATGTTTTTGAAGCAATATTTGGATTGGCAGGAAATATTTGAGGTGACGTCCTCACGACCACTAAGTGACCAGACGACAGTAAGGTCTTCATGATCATAAACATTACACAAAAAGCAAGCAGTCTCTCCAACGACTGTAGGTTGGGTAGTTAAAGGGACAACATGTACTTCAGGTCTCCCTTTTTGTCGATTTATAATGTCACCGAGCAAATCAGTAGTGCAACGTTTTAAGCCGTTCAAACCTGAAATAAACGTAACTTCACAGTGGATCAAGTCTGCAATTGTTTCCCGCGTAATCGTCCAGTTAAAATCAAGATGAAGTTTGTTTAGGCCTATCGACTGGTTAGCTTGCTTTATGACGTCTCTCTCTCCTGATGGTAATATCTTGTACATAATCAGTTGCACAGGGGGCTGCCCTGGCTCCGCTTTGCATGTCGTTGTTATCTTGTCTCCCAAATATCGTTGCTTCATGTATTTCAGTGGGTGGCTGCATTCCGGATTCGGTAGAATCTTTCGATTAACTTTAAGCCAGGCTGAAGATTGGACGTGTTGTTGGTGTATCACAATACACGTGATCAGCCCTGTGTCGTTTAATTTAACATTCTTTATCACTAACGTATCATTTTTAATAAACATACCGTTTTCTCCTATAGCCATATTTGTTGATACTTCATATTTTTTCTTGCTAACATCACTCTCAATCCACACATCGTCTGCTTTCCATAAAATTTCATGTAGGTTGAACTTCTTGTTTGTGAGTTCAAGTGAGCATGTAAAAGTTGCGTTTTCTCCCTCGTATATTGTAACGTTTTGCAGACGATTCATCAAACGCGTACAAAATCCACACTCGTAGTTCAAGGAACTAATGAGAATAATCAGTATGGCGAGACCCATTTTAAAAAGAAAACGTGATTTACACGCAGACCTCGATATCAATCAAAGTTGAGGTAATAAGCTATCAATTCACACCATTTCCTTATTAGGAATGACGGTCATTTTAATAACGTTTCAGCTATAGTGTTAATCTGTTGTTCGTTCAGAGTAAACTGCAGTCAATCACGCGGTAAGTGTTTCCTTGTTGTGCAGGCTATCGAACACACTTTCTTTTCCTGATCAGCATACCTAAAAAATGAGAAATAAGACGAAACTTAAATTCAATAACAAAACAAGTTTCTCTGACAAACACTTCCTTATCACGATCCGTGTTTTGTACTTAATGTACTCTGAAGTAAACTAGAACTCAATTAGGCATCGATGACGTAGGCCTATGTTTTCTTTGTGGACGTCGGTTCCATTGGTTTATGTGATGCAGTTTTTTATGTGTAAAGGTTTCATGGGAATTCAGTGAAATTTTAACAGACAAACCTGGGGTGTGACTTCCTGTCTAGAGGCAAATTTGCTATTGTGCTTCGTTGATTGGGAGATCATTTAATGTTTCATCTGAGCCAACTCACAATATTTATGATGAACAATACGGTCTGTGAACGCGTCCTTGATAAGAACGCCCTCAGTCAGCGTGACATTAGACAATATAAAAGACGTGATTTCATTAGCCCCAAGGGTTCTTTCATTACAATCATGTATTTTTTCATTTAGATATTATGTTTTACTTCTCGTGTTTGCTTTTTCTTTTTAAGTTTTGTGATGTTGAATAACGACCGAAAATTGATTGAATTTACTCGGTAACACTTGGATAACTCATTCAAATAGATTTATTTCCACTTTTCGGTGGCCGATCAAATACTAAAATACAAGCCTACTGAATAAACAATAACACATAAACCCAATTAACCGAATCAGAATGTCAAAGATTAGCAACTTAAAAAAATGTAAAAAAAAAAAAAAAAACTCCTCGTTGACAATCATATACCGGCCGTAGTATAATGCCTGTAGGATAGCATGGAACAGTCATATTATTACAGTTATATGTTAATATGACTGTTCCCTGGTATACGGTAACCACTTGCCTGTCCCATTTGAATTTTTATGCACAGAGGCATTGAATTGAATAGCGTCAAATGAGAGTTAGTTAAAGATTAACTAATTATTCAAAAGATAATTGCATAATAATAATAATGATGATGATGATGATTATGATTATGATGATGATAACAATTGTAATAATAGTAAAAAAATATAATGAATAATGGAACAATTTTATAGTAGGCCTGTGCCAAGGTTTATTTCCCATAATTTTAGTTAGCTATCAAGCTAGCGGTTTTCTTCTTTAGTTTGTTTATTAAGTGTTAAAAATTTGATTACTTTTTTTTTTCTCTCTGAAGCATTTCCTGAATGAGATGTATTTCTAGGTGCCGGGTCTTTTTTTTATAGCCTTAGACTCCTCATGTTGTTCTGAGAATGTTTCCTTTAAACCTCCCCTGTTTTTACGGGTCATTATTTTAATTTCCGTAAATATATACATTGGCACACCGTACGACGGCGGAACG